CCTCATCACATGTTAAGTTTCCTGCTGGCTGTTACTGATTAATGAGCTAATATGACATATATTTTGATTAGGCACTCTTGATTAAAGCTGTATGGCTGGAAATAGTAAGGAACTAGATGTGTCGATGAGCTGGATGGTCTGGTTTGCTTTAAAATTATCTTGTCACAATTGATCGGCACTTAAAATAAACATAAAATGGCACCCTCAGCCCTTTTTTTGTTTTTACGTAAAAAACATTACATTTTTTCCATATTTTCAAATGTAGGGCGACACTTGATTGGTTAGTGTGAAGAAGACTTGGTGATGTCATGCGCAGAGGGAAGTCGTTTCAGTGGCGGAGCGGTTTATGTTTTGATTAAAGATTTAGATTAGACCATGAACAGATTGGGTCAATTGTTTTTTTTTTTCATAATAATTTCTTTAAAATAAATACATCTCTTTGCGATGAGCTTGTTTCACTTTTATTTGAAGTCAAACAAGGATAACAACAAGGTTTCCTTTTTTCTTCATCATTTAGGCCCAAGTCTTTATCTTGCTTCACATATTTGTACTTTTTAAGGCAAGTGAAGGTTACTTTTAATTTTTAATGAATTTTAAATGCGCAAAGTAAGGACAAATGACCTTGAATAATAGATTTTAATATAGACACATTTTTTGATTCATTAAGTAATCCTTGAAAACCTTTTCTTGAAAATGGATTTTTTCTGAAATCAAACGAAACCGATGTGATTGTGAAGGGTACAACAACTTTACACTTGTTTTAAACTAGATTTTTTTTAAAAACCGTTATGTCATTGACCCATAAAGAAAGTCAATGTGGTAAATTTTGATGTTGATTAACATCAGGACTTCTTTATAACTCATCCAATTATATCGTATCATATCATATCTTTTTTTAGGTGTTTGAGCTGAGGTGGTGAACTGAACGGCTACATTACAGTCTGATAATGAAGGGCCGACAGGGAGCATGTGAAAATGTGGGCCCAGTTGTAGTCGGCACTACTTTGTTGCCACGGCGCTGTGACTCCATAGCAACGACTTCTCACCAGACTTGACACAGAAGGTGTTTACTCTGACCAGCCTGAACAGTTCATGACTTCAATTGTTCACCCCTGTGTAGTTGTACACACAAGCCTTTTTAATCGGGCAAGCCCGCCGCGACCGGTTTTTCCGAGGTCATCTAATGATGTATGTATTCTCGTGATGACATTTTCGAACCTTACCCTCCTTAATTGGAGTGTTACGACCCAATACACCAAGTTATATCAGGAATTACAGATTTAAACCCTACATATTGAAAACGCATCGCGTTGTGTGCACTCTAAAATATCGGAAATGTTTAGTTGGCATTGTACTAACGTTATTCAAGTAAGTACCTGCAAATATATCTAATTTTTTGTGTACCTGATGACACTTAATAGCGTTTTGTCCTCCATTTTGTTTGAGTCGAGATCCAGACGAGTGATGTCATAATGGTGGGGATTTGTGAATTGGTGTGTGCCATTGATTGTGGCTTTTCAAGGAGTCATTTCTGAAAGCCATTGTTGCAGTAATGGCTTGAAAGAGATCGAGAGTTGGCACAGAAATGAACACACACCAATGTGAGTGTGTGTGTGTTACCCCTGACCTGATGCTTCGGGTGGGGCATTCAGATTTATTAAGTCGAGTTAGCAGGATAGATCTCCGTCAGATCCCTCAACGCAGTGGATAATCCCACATCTTGCTCATTAAATAAACTCTGTTTCTTACACACACACACACACACACACTCGTTTATGCATGCTCGACGAAAAATGTATTGCGTTCTGCAACTACTTTTTTTTTTCGACAACTACTAGTGGTGAAAGTTTAAATCTGGCTCATGTCACTTGCCGGTTTAGTATTTTTTAATTTCTTGTTCCTAAAAGGAAAAAGGAAAAGCAAATAAAAATATTATAGATATATAAAAAAAGAAGAAATAATTTGGACAAAAATGTGCTTCAAATATATTTTAGACAGTTTGCGGCTTTTCCCTCACAGTGTTGCATCTTTTATCTTTTTTTTTTTTTGGTGTAATTTCTCAGTTCAATTAAAAGTGGGTTGTTTAAATTAATTAAACTGAAATTAACAATTACGTTTGCTACTCAACAAAAATAAAGTGAATGTTGTGAGAATTACAGTTTAAGATGTCACTCAATATCTTAAATATAATAATTCAATCATATTGTAAATATCTTATGTATTGCAATCTGTATCCTTTTGTGAGGTTGTTGGCAATACTACATTAATGTTTCATGTATAGCACAAATTGTGTTTTATATTTGTATTTTATATTATAATATATATAAATTAATAAAAAAAATATATATATATATATTCACACACATACATTAAAGTAATTTAATTAATTAAAGCATATTAATATTATAGTAATTATGCATGCCTTAACAAGCACTGCTAATATATAAAAACAAATATAATTTTTAATAAATAAATTTTAAATGATCATGTAGCAATTTTAATTCTTTCCTTTGCAACCATGATTAATAGTCTTTGATCAATTAAGTAAATAGGCAGCAACAAATTCAGTGTTCATTTCTGCAGTTAAAAAATTATAACGCACACACACTCCTTAGCAGATGTCTTGTTTGTTGATGGCAAATCTGCTCATTAGCATCGCAAATAGGTCTTCGAACACCTTTCTGGACTGAAAAAAAAAGTAGTTGCCCATAGGTGTCACTGACTCTGATTTTTAGTATTAAATGAGAAATTCAGGCCGCCTCAAAAGAGGCGCTGACAAAACAGCATCCGTTGTGAATGGACTCGGCCTGTACTGTGGTGAAAGGACGAGGCACGGATGGCTTAATTAGCTTGTCTGACTGTTTGTGTTCCTCCTGGCCTTTGGTGTGAAGGACGCGTGCTGGGATAATTGCGTCGCAGGATTATTTTTACCAGCGCAGGTTTTTTGCCAGTTGCTTGTGGCTTAGAGGCTTTGTATGTTGCACACATGTTTCGGGATGTGTGTGTGTGTGTGTGCTGAGACAGACGGGCTGCATCAGTATTCCCTGGCAGTGATGGAGTTGCGCTGTGGGAAAGCTGCGCCCCAGAGTAAAGCAGCGGTCTGGAACAAAGCATCCTGGTGGGGGACTGTTTAATGTGGCAGCACCTCGCTCAGACCTGCCTGTCGAAAGACACACCGGGCTAAAGAACCCTTCCTAAATTGCTTCCGCCTCTACAATCAAAGACCATAAGCAGCTCTCTTCTTATGGTGTGTTGTTCACACCAAAATCGAATTTAATTATTTGTGTGAGTAGATTACCAAGTCAACGCAAAAAAGAATAGATGCGGATTCGGATTGGCCGACATGACTGGCGTGTTGTCGAGTTTAAGGTTTTTTATGTATTATTTCAGTACACAATGTACACATTTAATTTCGTTTTGGGCGTTCATTTACACAAAAATGGTGTTTTGGGGGCCTGAAAACGCAAACTTTCATGAAGTTAAAAGTTTTTAAAAACGATATACCTTAATTGTCTCTGTATAAACTACAAAAATGTGAACATGTGTTATAAATGTTCAGTATAGGGGTATGATTCTCGCTTGGGGTGCGAGAGGTCCCTGGTTGAAATCCCGGACGAGCCCCCATTATGTTACGTGCCACGAGCACTAACATAGAGAGCGTCCTGTTAAAAGGAAACGCCCGGAGTTCCGTCTCCTACTCCTGTAATGACTTCACGACTCAAAAGTATTCAAAATGAAGAACAGCTTTTATTCTTGCGTGTAGGGGTGGTTTACTTATAGGCGTTTTAGTTATTTTCGCAGATCCGTGTGTATCTGTAAGTTGTTGTTTCTACTCAACTTTCTGTCATGTTCCATCCCTTCAAATTTAACTACTGATTTTTACTGTTTAGTCTATTAGACAATATATTTTTTTCAAATTATATGTGCATTAATGTTAACACTATGCATTGTCTGGTATTTGTCAGAATGCGCACAGCTGTTTTTGGATTCTAAGTTGTATTTAACTTGCAGCAGTGTAAAATGATTAAAAATCGGTTTAAAATCATTATTTAAAATAAAGCTGAAATAAAATACTAATAAAAATAACAAAACAGGGCTCCAGAGACTAACTTTTCCAATGGTTGAACTTGTACTACCAACTTTCTCAGTTGGTCGCACCAGCATTTGATTTGGTCGCACCTTTTTTTTTTTTTTTTGCTACATGCCATGGGA